AGGGGAGAGAGAGGAGAGAGAGGGAGAGAGAGAGAGAGAGAGAGAGAGAGAGAGAGAGAGAGAGAGGAGGGAGGGAGAAGAGAGGGAGGGGGAGAGGAGGGAGGAGGAGAGAGAGAGGGACGGGAGGGAGGGAGGGAGGGAGGGAGGGAGAGAGAGAGAGAGAGAGAGAGAGAGAGAGAGAGAGAGAGAGAGAGAGAGAGAGAGAGGAGAGAGAGAGAGAGAGAGAGAGAGAGAGAGAGAGAGGGAGAGAGCGAGAGCGAGAGAGAGAGAGAGCGAGAAAGAGAGAAAGAAAGAAAGAGAGACGGAGAGCGAGAGCGAGAGCACTTTCTTCAAAGACTCCGCTCTGCTTCCCTCCGAGGAATTGGTAAAAGCGTAAACCTCTTTCCGCGCGACATTAGAATGGGATCTGTTCCGCTGGACGATAAGAAACAGACGCGACGCTCCTTTTTTTCCCGATGAACTAAAATAATAACGCGATCTATTTCTTATTTGTTTTTGGGTGTTTGTTTGTTTTTGTCTTTTTTTTCTTTTTTTCTTTCTTGCAGTCCGTCGGTTTTTCTTTCTCGATCGCTGTCTGTCTGTTTTGTTGTGCGTTGGTTTGTCTGGTCTGTCTTCTCTCTCTTTCTCTCTCTCTCTCCTCTTTCTCTCTCTCTCTCTCTCTTCTCTCTCTCCCTTCTCCCCTTCCTCCTCCCTTTCCTCTCCTCACTTCTTCTCTTTTCCCAAATCTACGATCTTTGTTCCCATTTATTTCATTTCGTACCCACATCTCCGCGTCCTCTCACTCTCCCATCTCCAGTGCTGATCTACGCATCCGGGACCTACTCGATCAGATCCCCAATTTTTTATTGTCACTCGCCATTGCCAAGTATTTATCAAAGATTGAATGGAGCATTTTTCAGGCCCGCTATCTCTCTCTCCCCAAAATTCATTCACTTCTGAAGCACTTGGCAACCCTTCGCGAGAGTAAATGCATCAGTTGCCAATTCAGCATTTAGTTTGCCAATATTTCTTGCGCGGAAGCTGATTGGTTCTTTTGTTGAAAATTGATTGAAAATATATGAACTAGTCATCTTGCAAAACTTGCTATATCGTGCAGAGGAAAAAGTGATAACACACGGAAAATCTCGTTTGATATTTGACATTTCAGGGAGAGAAGCTGAGGTGGATATGGGTGCCATCTGCATTTTTCTTCTGAGAGAGGGAGAGGGAGAGAGACAGAGACAGACAGGCAGACAAATAGAAACAGACAGAGGCAGACAGGCAAACAAAATAAAGAGAGAGGGAGAGAGAAAGATATTATATATATACATACATACATATATATATATATATATATATATATATATATATATATATATATATATATATATACATATACATACATACATACATATACATATACATATACATATATATATATATATATATATATATATATATATAGAGAGAGAGAGAGAGAGAGAGAGAGAGAGAGAGAGAGAGAGAGAGAGAGAAGAGAGAGAGAGAGGAGACTTCCTTCTCCTCCTCGTCCTCTTCCCGCCTCCCCCCTCCTCCTCCTTCTCCTCCTCCCCTTCTTTTCTTCTTCCTTCTCCTCCTTCTTCTCCTTTCCTTCTCCTTCTCCTTCTCCTTCTCCTCCTCCTCCTCTCCCTCCTCTCCTCCTCCTCCTCCTCCTCCTCCTCCTCCTCCTCCTCCTCCTCCTCCTCCCCTCTCCCCCCTCCCCCCTCTCCGCCTCCATCTCTCCCTCCCCCTCTCCCCTCCCCTCTCCCCCTCCCCCTCTCCTTCCTCCTCAACCTCCTCCCTCCCTCCACCTCCTTCTCCGCCTCCTTCTCCTCCTCACTCTTCTATCTCCTCCTCCTCCCTCTTCCTTTTCCATCTCCTCCTCCCCCTTCCTTCTCTTCTTCCTCTCCCTCTTCTTTTTCTCTTCTTCCTCCCCCCCCCCTCCTCCTCCTCCACCTCCTCCTCCCCCCCCTCCTCCTCCTTCCAAACGTCAACAGTAAAGAAGGTATATAGAATATATTCTCAGTGGAATGGCATATAATAATTTTGATTTCCCTTTATGATATATTGCGAGCCGACTTGATCATCAAAGTATCAGCTTATATATATGAAAAAGATTATTGATGACTCTGCTAATGATGGTGGCGCTGCAGGTGTGGATGAATTTGTTGATTACACTTTATTAATGGATATTTGAAAGATTATAGTGTGCCTGTCATAAGGCTAATGGTTTGATGGTAATAACGCAGTAATAACGGTTTTGATCATTTAATGGATGGTACTGTAATACTATTTTTTTTATTATTGTTAAAGACGACTGTATTTTCTTTTAGTATATGAGTATTGTTATAAGGTCGTTGGGTGTACTGCTTAAAGACCAGAGATGAAATTCGTAAAATATGGTATATTAGCAACAAACAATAATTAATTTTTACTGTTAGTCTAACGGTGTTAGAAGCAGTGGCAGCATTTCTAAGCACGCGGACACACACACACACACACC